CACTCTCAATCACTATTTCATAAGTAAAAAAAACCCATGTATTAAACCTTTTTTCTCCGAAAAACCTTGACTTGCCAATGTCCTTAATGTGACTACTCTGCATCGCCCGATACTAGAATCGTCTGATTAAGTTTTTCAGCCGACGATACGATAATAATTTGGTCGCCCGACCATCGGCTTAAATCATTTAATAAATGTGACCTAAGTATTACTCGAGGTTATTGATGCATAAAACTGTATATTTAGATATGAACAAACGTATTTATCTTCTAACTGTTTGAAAAGAAAACTCTGCAATCTGTAATAAGTATAAATAGAATAATTAAATCCTGATTTTCCTACTCAATTTGAATCCTCTTACCAAATATTATTAGATACGTTTCCATAGTAACGATATTCTTTTTATTTATCTATTTATTTTTATGAGGAATAATTGTTACATTGTAATGCTTTCTGTAGTGATTATTTGAGAGTCGTACATGTATCTCCGAGATCTGTGACGAGTGCCAAATCTTTCAATACAGCGGTTACAGAGAATGAATCCCATACTGACAAAACTGCTGGCTATGTGCTAGGAATCGTTGCTATGGGTTAAATGAGTACAAAAATATTTTCCTAAAACAACACGACAATGTCAAGTTTTCTCAAACACATTTTTGTGACTTGATTTAGATAGATTTTACAGGTTTACATGAATATGTGTCAAAATTAAGTTTCTTTGCCTCGTTGCTATGGGGAAGTGTTGTTGTTGCTATGGAAATAAGTCAATGTACGATATTCAATAATTTGCTACAACATTTTATATTCTTTCCACAGTCTCAGCATATATAATTATCAGCACATTACTTGAATATTCAATTCCATGACAAACAATACGATCCCAAAGTCAAATCTGTTTTACAGGAGGCATAGTGCACATTGGTTGTCATGTACTGGGAATCGTTGCTATGGGTTGATTAAGTACCACAAAAACTTAAATAAGACCAACATTTCATTGTCAATTTTGCTCAACGACATTTTTCTGACTTAATTTGAATAAATTTTTAATAAGATTACATGAATACATGTCAAAATTGACTTTCTTTGCCCGTTGCTATGGAGAACCTGTTGTTGCTATGGAGATAAATAATTATACAATATTCAATAATTTGCTAGAAAGTCCTTTAATTCTACTATTTTAAAATTTGTTTTTCGTTTTTGTAGATAACAGTTCATTTGATTTTTCCGTAAACTTTTTACATTGTTTCTCATTTTATGTATCAAAATGCCCATATTTGTTGCTAGGCAACAAATTCAATTTTCAAAAAGGCCCGTGGATTTGACTTCAAATTCTGAAAGAGAAATTCATCTGCTTTGATGTGAAATACACGCAACAGCTGTATTAATCTGGCTTTTTTTTAAATTTGGCCTTGAATATTGCCAAAATCACGAAAAATGCTGAATCAGCAGAAATTGCAAAACATGTGTACCTTCCAATGGCTAGCACAGAACTAACTTAAGACCTAAATTTCTTTCATTGCATTATTAAAACACTTTAAATGTGTATCTTTATTACACCAGTAATTGAGAATAATTTTCATGGTATTAAAATTTTATTTTAAGCCTTAAAGATAGGTGAATTTTTGTCCATCAACATGGAAAAAATTGCCGGTTGCTAAGGAAATTTCTTTGGCCGGGTTTCCATGGTAACCATGACTCAAAACATTTTTCATTTTACATACATTGTTCATATTGCAAGAGAAATTTATGAGTGAAAAATCATCGAATTCTGAAAACCTTCATGTATCACTTTCATACAATTTTGTCTGATTTTTATGTGGACTGGTACTTAAATATTAATTTAAAATATACTGGAAATACTGACTAAGTGACCGATCTACGTGGAAAAGGGGGGGGGGGTGTCTTAATTATATTGAATGGCAAACATATAAAGTTATTGTGAAGAAAGGATTTTTTTCTCTCTAACAGTAGAATTTATATATGAATTGTAGTATATTACATTTAAATAAATATTTTTTGAACCACACTATCAATTCAATTCGCTCCAAAGATATTTAATTAACTGGATATCCGCAGTACTATTTATAATTCTCAGAACTGGTTCTAATAATGTATTTCTATAATAATTGAATAAAAATGTGTTAGCAATAAATACTGTCTAATTTTCCTGCAGTTGCTAAATTAATTGACATGGATTATTATATCTCCATTAACGACTTGTCGTCTTTAACATTACAGCAAAATGTTGCAGCGCTTGAAGTATCCCTATATTGCCCGTATTTAAATTCAATTTTTCAGCATCTTTCTACATAGGAACATACTTATAACAACATTTATTTTCCAGAGTAATTTAAATAATAACCTAACAGCTAAGTTAGAATAATAATAAAGCATATTTAGATAATTTATTCCAATAAAATAATGATCCTTTAAAAACGATATGTGAATTATTAAATTTCAAATCCCGTAAATCCTTACTTCCAAAAAAGAAAGGTCCTTTCACTTCGGAGTTCCGAATGACAGTGAAGACTGAACGACAAGTGAACGCTGAACGCAAGGTGGACACAAAGTGAACGAACGGAGAGCGAACGGTGAACGCTTTGTGAACGGTGAACGCGAGCGCACGGTGAACGCAGAACGCAAGACTGTGAACGGAGAGCGAACGGTGAACGCACGGTGAGCGAACGGTGAACGCACGCTGAACGAACGGTGAGCGAACGGAAAAATTGGAATGTAGAACGTTTCAGGGACTGTATATAAAAAAGAAAAATAAAGACTTAGATTATTTGGTCCTGATAAATTTCAGTCTGATTGATTAATGTTCGTCTTTTCTCACCTATGGGCAAATGGTAAACAAAAGACGGGTGTTTATAATGAAGCGCAGTGTGAATAAAATGTCAACGATGAGTGAAAGCTGAGTGTACGTATAAGATTTACATGTTTTCCAGGCAACAATTATTTTTCATGAAACATACTTATTCAATCATAATTTACTAGTATTAGAAATAAATCGTTGTTTTATTAAGTGTTCAATTAGCATAACTTAATTGTTTATTTCAACCAAATTATTAAGTTTGAAGAAAAGAGAAGCTTGCAGTATTTTTTGTCGCCCACGTGGTGCAATAGAGCAATTGCTCCAGAGTCGTGGAGTAAGGAATTGATCCTTACGTCACGGGTTCGAATCCCACTGCGGACCAGTCCTTCGGAAAAGACCGTATAAATCGAGGTCCTTAGTCACAGTAGGTACTGGCACGATAAAGATCCCTCACTGCTCAAAACCATAAGTGCCGAGTACAGGTCTAAATTTGCAGCCCTCCACCGGCAATTGGTGGCGTCTCAATATGAGAGAAATTCTCGAAGGGTCATTAAACAAACAAACAAACAAAAAAGCAATATTCTCTTCAGTGAAAGTTAAAAAGTTATTTTTTCCTTTTACAAATTATATACTAGTATCAAAATTGACATAAAACATTAGGAGAGCAAACGGAGGTCGAAACCTTTTGGGACTGGAATCTGCATTATCCTCTAGGCCGTGGAATAGGCCAGATTCGGGGATATGGTGTGTGTATTGGACTGTCAGGACCCAAAAACGACACGGCTTTTTCCAGCAAACAACCTTCAGAGTTTTTCAAAGAACAGAAAAAGCATAAAAATAGGTTATTTTAATTATATAAATGGTCTACAATGATGAGTTTTTATACAAGATTCATTTTTAGCTCACATCAAAGAAGTTGGGTGAGCGTACGTAATATGTAAAATCCTCGACATCGCTATCGGCGTCCTAGGTTACGATTTTTGGAGCAGATTTCTTCCCAATTACTTCTACGCCCAATATTTATCAGAGTTGCCTGCATGATGTATCATGTATTCTTTATTGTCTCCATGAAGTCCGATTTTGAGACGCTGCCTTTTCAGCAAAAAAAAAAAAGAAAAAAAAAATGACCAAAAAAGATTTTTGAGCAGGTCACATTCTCAAGTAACAACATGACGTATCTGGACCAAACTTTAATGAATGATACGTCTAGGGATAAACTCTATCAAACTTGCTTCGAATGCTGGATCTGACCTACATTTTCCGGATGATTGATCAGATTAAAGATTTTGGAGCAGGTTTCATGCTAAAGAAACCATGTCCCGTGGTGAAGAAACTTGCATGGGTGATGCATCTAGCGAGGCACACTACCAGACTTCCTTCGTATGCTGGATCTAGCCTTCATTTTCCAGATAGTGAACAGGTTAAATACAGCAGATTCATTCCAATTTAACTATAACAAAAACATTGTACCACGGCCATACTGGCATGGATGATGCATCTAGGAATGCACACTACCAGACTTGCTTTGGAATCTAGATCTGCCCTATATTTCTCAGATGAGTGGCCAAATTAAAGTTTAAGAAGCAGGTATTTCAAAAGTTACTATAACTTTTGTGACCAAAAGTGCATGGATATTGCATATAGGGATGCACACTACCATGCATATATGGTTCGGATGCTGAATCTACTTATATTTGCCGAATGATTGAGAGAAGGATTTAGAGCAAGTCCATTCTCAGGTATCTTAGCATCCTTTACAGTCAAAAGTTTTATAATTGTTGCATGTAGGGATGCTAACTACCAGATTATTTATTAAGTGTGAGGTTTTATGACTAATCTATAGCCATCAAACTTTTTTGCATAAGGAACAAATTCAAAGGCTTTGAAAAGATAAATAACTCTGGAGAAATAAGGTTTATGATGTAATTAAAGTACTGATTAAAAATAAATTAACACGAAAATCTGTAATATTGTCGAAGTCGATTAAAACTTCTAAAACTCCTGTAAGGTTGATGTCTGACTGGCTAAATAGAAGATAAACCATTGAGAGAGAAAAAAATGAATGCACGGAGAAAGAACAAACACTGCTAATAAGGTGTAAAAACATTCAAGGATCTACATATATTTTAAAGGCAAACAAAATTAATAGCTTTGATTTACATCTTCTTATGTTTTCTTTTCTAAGAACAAAGGACTGTTATAGTGTGTGGGGCCGACGATGGAGAAATCCGATGTGAAAACTCCAAAACTCTAACTATTGTGTCTGCCAACTATGGACGAACCGAACCTACAGCTCAAGTCTGTTCGTCCAATTCGGCTACAATGGATGATACCAACTGCAGATTAGATGTTCTCAACAAGCTATCTCAAGAATGCGACGGCAAAACACGCTGTGCTGTTCCTACCAGATTGAATGACTTTGGAGGTTCCAGCGTTAATCCTTGTCCTAACACCTATAAATATGTAGAAGTCCAATACACTTGCTCATAATTTATACAATGCCCTGAATAAGTGAATAGGTATGACCTTATCAGCAAGTCCAATAAAATGAAGCATAATCGTTATGTCTGAGCATTGCTTTTCTTCCTTTAATCTATATATTTTTTACTGCATACCTTGATTTTGCACAGAGCAAAGCTCAAGAGACATGTATATTAAATCAAGAACTTTTTTATTTAATTTAACAGGCATACTGTAATAATAGTAATTTTTGTCCCCCTCTTTCGAGAAAGCGAGGGGGCATTAAATCTCGTTCGCCTGTCAGTCTGTCAAAAAAAAAAACACTTTAACCTTGGCCATAACTTTTGATTGAGAAAAGATATGATTTTTGACCCTGTTACTTTAACCTTGAAGTTTGACCTACTTTAAAAAAAAATTACATTAGTCATTACTTTTGAATGAGAGAGGATAGGGTGTAAATATTTGACATGTGTATTATCTGTGTCAAGACCTTTCCGAATGCACTACGTATAATATGTATGTTTTGACCTCTTGATGTTGATGTTTAACCTAGAGTTCTTTTCAAAAATTTTGTATTATTGGTCATAACTCTTGAATGAGAGAAGAAAGGTTTTCGTATGTTACATGTGCATTACCTGTGACACCTTTCAGAGAAAAACCCTTTTTTAACTACATGACCTTGTCCTAGACGTTTGACCTACTTATTTTCCAGTTTTACATTTGGTCGTTACCTTTTTTTTTTCTCTAGAAGAGAAAGGGTTTTCATATTTTTCACATAAGCATTACTTGTAACAAAACCTTTGTGATATTATTATAATACTTGACTTTATGACCTTAATCCTGAAGTTTGATGCAGTTTTATTTAAAAAATTTCAATTTTGGCCATAACTTGTAAGTCAAAAAATTAACATCTTTTTTGTATGATAGACAGACAAGACAGGACATACAGACAAGACAGTTACAATATGCCATAAATAACTGAATCCCAACCAATCCCAATAAAAGCGCGGGGGGGGGGGGGGATTACAATTCTTTGAATTTGCTTGTTCAAAACTTGTTCTAAGTTTAGGAAAAAATTTTGAGCACAAAATTTATTATTTTTGTCCGGATCACTGATTCCACCTGTGTTTAAGATCAGTCTAGAGGTCAGTGTTGGCTCTGGTCATAATTTGAATGAAATTTTGAGAAAAAGATCATTCATCAGAATATTACAATAAATATCACTTATATAAAGCATAACGTGTTTTAAGCTTCGTGTATCTTAGAAATTTTATTTGAACCAAGTGGTTTAAATCCATAGACAGTCATTACATGTATATCGTTTTTCACATTCTATTGTGAACTTTCAGATACCCATCCAAAATAAATTCCTAAAATGAAAATGACATCACCTTATTTCATCGAAGAAATGCATACTAAATTTGCTTAATTTTTTTTAAACGTTGCTCTTTGGTCCCCCAATTGCATACTTATGATCACTGATTCACTTCTGATACACCCATTTAAAACTATGCTGTGATTTAGATTCGTTGAAATAAGTCACCAACGTACACTTACAAATGGCATCAGCTTGCTTGTCAAAATTTCCCATTGGGCATTAGTCTATAGGCCGGTACAGTCATTGAGAAGATAGAACTACCACATTTTTCTTCGTTCGAGACGAAAGGTTGTTTAATCGGTGAGAAGGAAGGTTTTATCGGTTACAAGAAGGAAGTGTACGGTGTACTTTTACAGGTCCCTCAAAACAAGGTAAGCAATTTATTTACTGCAGCATTGAACATTGGTGCATGAACGTGTATATTAAGGGATTTTTTTTTCCTTACCACTCCCCTTTCTGGCTTTTCCCAAATCATTGCCAAAAAAGATGTTTAATGATTACTATATAATTCATATTGTATTTTATTTCCAGAACTCAGTGGCAGAGTGGTTAACATGAATAGGTATATAACAAGTTTGCTCACCCGTATCTGATCAACATAAATTAATTTCACATACTATATTAATTTAAAGAAAGAGTATTACAAAACATGCTAAGGAGTTCTAATTCTATCTCTCGATTGCCTTTCAGTAATCATTTTACGACCTTTAAGTCTTCGGCAAACCCAAGCTCTCTACAAGTAGTAGTAGTAATAAATTTTATTTACAGTCGGACTATATACATTTAACAAAAAACATGAGCTAAAAGGTCTTTTATCGACTAGTAACATAGAAACACATTTAGCACAAATAAAATGTACATATACATATAAGAGAAAACATACTTAAATTTGACATAGACAGAAGCACATAAAACAAAAGAATGGAACAAAAGACACTAGTAAACACACATAAAAAAGACATAAAAGACATAACATAAGAGAACACACAAACACACATATGTATACAAAAAAGATCATGCACACATAAAAAAAATAAGAAAAGGGGTCTCTCTCTGTATATATAGAGATGCCCCTCTTTCTTATTTTTTTCAATATAGTTAGGAATATGGACGTCACTAGACTTGTTTGTTTCGCGAGTAAGTTCAACCATTTCTGTAGATACAACATATTCAAAATAATTCTGCTCAGAATGTTTATATAGATAGATAGATAGATAGATAGATAGATAGATAGATAGATAGATAGATAGATAGATATATTTATGTCTTCCTCTTTCATCAGGACAAACAGAAATTTTTCCCTGTGTGTAATTTACCCTGTTTATGAAGTACCAAAAAAGACAAAACACCAGCTTTTATTGCGAAAATTTTTTTACTCAAATTGAGGTAAAAAATTTTTAAATTAAAAAACATGTAAAATACATACATGTAAAATACAAAAAATTATAAAGCATGATTACATAATGAACTATTACTAAAAAGACAAAAAACATGCAAAACACCTTTAAAGGTAACAAATACATAATCACCATAATACGAAAATACAAAGTGAGCTTGGCCTTGTAAGGGGTCAACAGCCCACCAGGAAAGAGAACTCTTTCCTACCCCCCCCCCTATATATATATATATATATATATATATATATATATATATATATATATATATATATATATATATATATATATATATATATATATATATATATATATTCTGTGTGTGTGATAACGTAATTAATTTTCTTTAGATATATACATGTACGCTTTACAATATTTTCTATCTTTCTTGTAAATCCTAAACTTCTCTTCTCCGCCACACCATCCCTCCTGCTTCTTGTTCAATTTCATTACCAGATTGATGTGAAAATTAATTTTCATTTCTTACGTCCTTTTAATTTCTGGACATTTTTTTCCAGATAACAATGACAGATGATGGTTACTTTTCACCTATAGATCCTGCCCCTGTCTTACTCAGGGATTCGACTCCTTCCTTTTTTCTCCCACTAGGCATTGCTGTGGTTCTTGGAACAATGATCTTTTCAAGTATGACAAAATTATCTATTTTCGACTCTTATTGCCTATACTTATGAATTGTTTTATTATACAATCAAAGAAATCTTTTTGACATATTAAGTGACAGGATTTTAACGAATTTCAAATAATTATATACATTGTACTAGCAATCAGCCATCGAAAATTAGTTTTTTTTTCAACTGTGTTTAGACACCCGTGTGCAGAATGCCAGGCTATCAAATCTTCAAGGTATATTCTTTTTCATTTTATCTTGATTTTTTTTTTAAAGAAAGAAACTATGACTAATATTTGCAAAATAACAAATATGAAAACTCGTGACCAGAGTATGAACGTATTAATCAGTGGTGTATCATGTTTAAATAAAAACCTTTTAAACAAAACTTTACATGATTGTATAAACGTAAGATTTTTTTTAGATTTTTTTTTGTTTTAGACCAATTGTTGGAATGTGAGAATAGGGCTAGCATACCTGGTGAGTAGTTTTTTTTCATGATTTTCTAAAAAAAAAAAAAAAAGAAAGAAAGAAAGAAAGAAATTCTCTCAATATTATAAGTAATAAATAAATAATGATAGCTTTCAAAGATATTTACGATTTTTATTCTTTCAAAAGAGCAAAGGACTGTTATAATGTGCGGGGCTGACGATGGAGAAATTCGATGTGAAAACTCCAAGACTCTAACAATTGTGTCTGCCAATTATGGACGAACCGAGCCTACAGCCCAAGTCTGTCCGTCCAATTCGGCTACAATGGATGATACCAACTGCAGATTAGATGTTCTCAACAAACTATCTCAAGAATGCGACGGCAAAACACGCTGCGCTGTACCAACTAGATTGAATGACTTTGGAGGTTCCAGCGTTAATCCATGTCCTAATACCTATAAATATGTAGAGGTCCAATATACATGCTCATAATATTTTATTTTCATTTGGTTTTATTTATATGTGGTCGAAAATGTCTAAAACAAAGATTTTGATGAACTACAGTCACTTAAAAAAACAAAACTCTGAAGTGAAAGATAATGCATTAATGCATCATATTTTATAAGACTTCGACAGTTCGTCAGTGATGATTCTGTGAATTGGTCAAAATATCTGAAATAGATTGTTGGTCAAGGGGATGCTGAAAATGGGGTGTAGCGAGCCTTAAATAGGTTTAAATGAGTGACAAAAATTAAAGTGCGACAGATTGTTCAACAACTTATACATCCTGGCCTGGTTAAATGAACCGCCACGCCATTGTAAGGAGGTCTGAATCATCCGTACGTTTGTGTTTACCTTTCTTGGTGATAAAAGGAAACGTCTGGATGATGCAGTCTAGATCAAACCCAGACTAAGCAACTTGAATTTTTTGCCCGGAAAGTAACGGAAACGGATCGCTGTAAAAAAAAAAAAAAGAAAATACCAAAATATCGGAAAACACCCGTTAATATCGAATTCTTGGATTCAAATTAGCGGAATTACGCTAAATATCGGAACAGAATCATCACTGGTTCGTAGGAAAAAGCTTTCAATAAACCTGTTTTCTGTGATATTTTTGCTAAGTGAGAAGACATTGGAAATCTGAACAAATACAGGAATGTATATCTATTAAAGGAAGAAAACAATAGAAAAACGAGAGGAATATGAAACACACAAATGAATATTATTAAATAGTTTTCTTTTTGGTACGCTGCTCTAAAAATGGAGATT